CTTTCCTCTTAAGTCGAGTCCGAGGAACTGTCAGTAATATTTGATTATTAGAGCTTAGACTTCTTGACACAGACTGGAATTTTAGAAGGTTTCTAAGATAAGGAGGAGCTAATCCATTTAAGACTTTATAAGTTAATAAGAGAATCTTAAAATCTATTCGGTAAAAGACAGGCAGCCAATGTTAAGAGGCCAGCATAGGCCTTATATGGTCACGCTTCCTGGTTCTATATAATGAATTGCAGTAATCCAAACGGGATGTAATGAAAGCATGGATAAGTCCTTCAAAGTCCTTAAAACAAAAATAGGATTTAATTTTTGCTAAAATCCGCAGGTGATGAAAACTTGATCTACTGTAACAACAGAGCTAACAGCTGTCGAAAGTAAAACCAAGATTCCTAGCAGAGGTCTAACAAAACTGAGCTAAAGAACCAAGAATCAGCTCTGGATTTGTAGTATGAAGATTCTGACCAAATAATATAACTTGAGTTTTACTTTGATTCAGGTAGTTCAAAGTTAGCATATTGCGTAGACTCATTGACTCTTAAGCAATCCCTTACATCAAGCATGCTTGTAGCGACAGTGGAAAGGAAAGCTCCCTTTGATCATGAAGAAAGCTCCAGCAGAACTGGAACCAGGTTCAGTGTGAACAGTCATCTGCTGAGGCCGACTGGGGTTCAAGGACACAGAAGCTGTCAACCAGCTCCACAGGCGGCCACGCCCAGGAAACACACAGCCAGGCAGACGAGCTCCGGGCCAGCTCCATGTCAGAGGATGAAGAGAGCACATCTGGGTAGACACACTCAGAGAAACAGAACTACACTGAAAAACAAGCCAAGCTCATCATTTATAAATAAAGGTGTTCTCTCCAGGATGGTGTCACAGCCAACTGGAACAGAACAGATGAAGCTTCTATGAGAAAAAGCAGGGAGAGCATAAGTAAGAAAAGTAAGACATGTAAGACTACTACATCACTACATTAATGAGAATTGGCAGTAGTGTAATCTGTGTTGGGAGTTCAATACTTTCCACAAACTGCTGACAGTATGGATCATCTCCAAAGGGGCATTATGGAGGACTGTACCTTACAAATAAAGTCAAATGTCTTGAGACCAATGCAGCACCAAACATGATTGCATCCACCAGATGGGTCCAAATGAGGAACTCAATTTGCATTGCGCAAAGACGTAATTTAATAGTCAGAAATTGATGTGATCAGATCCCCACTTTAACATCCATCAAACACAAAGCCAAGGAGACTGTCACCTACTTTAGATCAAGCACTACAGCCAAGAAGAAGCTTGCTCAAGCGCAGCAACAGATAGGACGACCAACCCTCTAACTTATCAGTGAGTTGCCGGTTTGGGTATCTGGCCTCTCTAAAATCTGATTTGACAGCTGATGAGCATGACGTCATAGGAGAAAAACTTCTTGTGCTTGCACCTTTCCATCAAGCTACAGTAGAATTGTCTGAAGAGAAGCTAGTGTCAGGGTCAAAGAAATACTCTATCTTGCAGTAGAGAGTAACGCTTCAACTTTGCACACACATGCAGCCATAAACCTACATAAACATCTGAAGCATTGAGTCACAAACGCTGCTTCCAATCTGGAGTCATTAAAAACACGTCCAATCCCCATATTTAAAAAACTTTGGTTCCGCAGTTCCTCCAAGTGCAATGAGTCCGTCAGTAGACTGATGTCAGAATGTGCGTTTTTAATCAGACGCACAAATCAGCACCAGCCAGGACCATCTCCACAACAGCTGTCTGCATCCACTTCAGACCTGCTCTTTTGCAGTTTTGGTTTGTTTTTTGGAAATCATGTTCTAAAATGCTAAATTGTTATTTTTTTAGATAACTTTTGGTAACATCTGGACATCAAAGTGAACAGTACAGGTGATGCCATTCACGAGGTGCACAAATACCTTGCAGAAGCCAATATCAACAAAAACAAGAGCGTGTTCCTACACCTCTTCCAACATTACTGGAACTTTCTCTGCACTCCAGCCTCAGTTGTGCAATGTGAGCATGTGTGTACCATCGCTGGAGAAGTTTTGTCAACAAAACACAAACAACTTAATTGCAAAAAAATCTAAGTACACAATTTTTCTCATTCACATGTTCAATAAAATTTACATTATTTAATGTAAATGATTCACATTATTTATTGATTGCATTAAAAACATTCAAAGATAATGACAAATGTTTCCAACATAAATTTAAATGAGGATATGAAATATTACAATGACATACAATGATTTTAAGTATAATATTGTGTATACACTAAGTCAGTAAATCAGTCTCAGTCAAATGGACTCTCTGTAGGGGTTTTAAATGTCCTGCAGGTGTCAGTGTTTAGTTACACAATATCAATAAAGTTTGTTAATGTGTCAAAGGTTATGGGTGGTTGTGTGGCAAAGAGACTTTGTGAATCCTTGTTTAGGACCTGAAAGCTGAAGTTGGTGAAGCCTTAAGCTGACTGAGGTTCTAAAGATGTGCAGATAAATCAACAAGGAGGAACATGGAAGAGCAGTTACCAGCTGTGGAAAGAGAAACCATTCAAGAGAGATGGGTGGTTTGTCTATTTTCATGGAGAAATCCTTTGGTGATTATAGGCAAAAAAGGTCAGTTAGACACTAGGAGGACAAATACTCAGGAACAAATGGCTCAGATCTGGGCTTGATGTGATCATAGTAGTTTAGCACAATGACATTGAGTGACCGATGAACTGCCTCGCTTATATTCACTAGTGATGAGATAATGGAGTAAGGCTCTGTGCAATCACACAGGTGTAGAGAAGCAGCCAAGACAACAGAGGTCTTAGGGCGCCCTCTAGTGAAACCTTGAAAGAGCCACACAGACAGCAGAACTAAACAATCCAAAATTCTGATAAAAAGGATTTTTTCCTCTCCACTATGGCTGTGCATGCTCAGTGTGAGGGATTACTAAAGAGTTAATGGAATAAGGGAGCATGTCACTCCAAGCTAATACCAAGGGTCATGTCCTGCAAGTCAATGACTTGATGCAATCACCTGTTTTTCCTTAGATAGTAGCTTTGAACCACTCTGAATGGGTGATCTGATTTAATTGTCTATTCAAAGTGCCTTAAGATGCTGTGAATTGGTTCTAAAATAAATATCTATAAATAAACTAAATTTAAATTGAATTCAATTTTATTATTAGTAAGAAACAATTTAAAGGTCATGACTTCTCTCTTTTCTATCAAAACTTTCTTTTTTCAAATCTATTTATTGTGGTGGTTACATTATTCCTGTTCACTTTTGAACAAATTAAAGTATTATTTTAATTGATTGATTGATTGATTGATTGATTGATTGATTGATTGATTGATTGAATTGTTGATTGATTGATCCTACAGTGGATGAATTTACTTGTCACCTTGGTCCAATATTCCATAACAAGATGCCAAAAGGAGGAAAAGGCACATGCAGCCTCTTATTTAAAGTCGCAGGGAAGTCATAGTTAAATGTCTAACCATTCTGGTTTAAACATGTATATAAATGTGCTCTTTATCAAACTATATTGTCCCAAAATTTAGGGTTTTCTATTTAAAAAAAAATCCTGTCTTAAAATCTAAGGGGGGGGTT